AATATGGTGTGCTAGGCAATATAATATTATAATAATAATAATCCTTGCATTTGATATAGCGCTTTTCACGTCGGGAGGACGTCCCAAAGCGCTTCACAGAATATACTGTAAAGTGAGTTGACTGTATATTTGTGGGCGAACGCGGCAGCCAATTGCGCACAGCAATGTCCCACAAACAGTCATAGATTGAAAATGACCAATTTAATTATTGTTTTTTTTTTTTGGTTTTGGAGGGATTATTATTAGGCGTGTGGAGTAAGGAAACTTGCCCAAGGTTTCGCCCTGCCTGGAATTGAACTCAGGTCTCTCGCTCGCTTGCAAAGCGAGTGCTCTAACCACTGAGCTACAGGACTCCATATTGGAATCAAGTTACCCTCTGTGATGTGTTGATTCCTGAGCCAGGTGGGGCTGCAAACTCCAGGCAACTGCTGTTGAAAGACCAGCAGCCTGGCTCAATGGCAGGACTTAGAGGGTCAGATACTGGGAGCTGGCATTCGACCTGCTCAGGTCCTATTAACCCTGCAAACCAAAGGTTACCCCAAATGGTAAGAGTGGTCCTAGCTGTACAAACAGTGAGAAGCATGTCAAACAGTGCTCTCAATGGTAAGTATGAAGTTTTAGCTCATTGAAATTCAGTGGTATGCCAACCCACTTTGGGGGCCCCAATGCCTTGGCTCACATCAACCTGTACCTAATAATAATGATTCTTGATATAGTGCCATATCACTACAAGGAGACATCTCAAAGTGCTTCACATGATACCCTGTAAAGTGGACTGACTATTTTTTGTGGGCAAAACTCAGCAGCCAATTGCACAGAGCAATATCCCACAAACAGCCATGGAGTGAGTGACCAATTTTATATGGGGGGATTTGATGGCCAGGACACTGGGAGAAATCACCTTCTCTTTTCAAATAGTGCCATGGGATCTTTAACGCCCATCTGTACAGTAGGGCATTGAAGAACCCATGGCCTGGTTGTGTGGTAATACTCAACAGAGATAGGTAACCAAGGTGTGCCCCTTCAGGGAGGGAGGGAGGGAGCATTCCATTAAGCGCTCTGAGATGCTGTCTGGCATGAAGGGCATAATATAATGCAAGTTGTTGATACCCTTGAAAAAAAGCTTGAAAGGGACATAGAGAACCTAAACCTCTGACAGATGCTGGTCGAGAATCTGCTTGGCGCACTTCTCCATAAACTGCTGGGCAGGTCTCAACCTGCTTCCAGCCATCTGCTGCATTGGATCACATCCAGAAAAGTTTCCAGTTTGCTTGTCCTCACATTTTAACCACAGAAAAAGAACTTCATTCCATTCAATATACTGTGTACTGCATGTTCCAGACAAAATTTATTACTCACGTAGTTATCTGTGGTGACGTGACTCTTCAATTTTGTTCAAAGCATTGCTTCAGTGATTTTGATACGATCATTTCTTGGGTTGTCTGGGATGTAAATTGGCCTGTATGTTGTCCTCTATCTAATATATTTGAAATATTTAAAATGTTAGATATCTAAATAGTGAAATATATCATATTTATTCCTTCTTTAAACCGAGTAGGCAGTGTTGAATTTCTTCACCAGCAAATGAAAGCGCTCTGGGATACTACCTGTGTTGTTGAAAGCTGCAGCTTCTTCTTTTCAATTGACTAAAAATAAGAATATCTGAATTCAGATATTGTTGTTTGCAGTACAGTCATTTGCTTTTAATTATATTTTTTACAGTAAACAAATATTGATGAATGAAGGAGGAATGGGAGCCAATTACCATATGCTTTCTATGTGGGACACTTGCATTGCTCTGCAAATAGCACAAGTTGAAGGTCCTGTTCACAAACAATAGACTGACATAAATGAGGGATGGCAAGTACTGGCAAGTAGAAGGAAGTGCCATAATTATAGACTCCATGTTACGAGATATAGGTTACAGCTGCCTCCACTGAAATAGAATTTCGATGTACTCAGTCCTTGAAAAGAATGTTCCCTCATTTCCTGCATGCATATTAATTTCTGCGGTTGCCTACAAAACATACAGTCACAATACTTTGCATTATTTCCTAAGAAGTACTTTGAGACATGCAGGTCAACAATAATATCGAATCAGTAAATATTTTGGGAGATGAACAGATAAGTCACTTGTTATACTAGTATTATCCTAATTATTTTGCATTGCTGTAGATGGGCCAACTAACTTGAATCATCAACAGGACTATTTCAGTGGAGGGTTAGACCAGTCACTGGGGGATTTCTTCCCACTCGGCTCCTGGTAAACCCGTAAACCAAATCCCTAACATATAAGGTTGTCAATGTGGACCAATGCGGTCTAGCTTCCCAGACAGTGGTTTGGGAGTTAGGAGTTAAACTCCTTCAGTATTCTAATGCACACTTTGGGGCCTCTGATCTAAAAATTGAGAATTATACCCCAAGGACCATTCTTCTGTCATCTAAACTCATTCCATAAAGTGGATCTGTTTTATTTTCTTCAATTTGTACCACTGAAAGTAACTTCTTTTATAGATTCCATCAAGGAGATACGATCTGAATGATGGACCACATGCAAGAACAACAACAACTTGCATTTATATAGCGCCCTTCACGTGGGATAGCCTCCTGGAGTGCTTGATGCTAATATGCAGCCATGCTAATAAATCAATTTGCCTACTCGTATGAGAAAATAAACAAGCTGAATGGGGAATCAAAGTGGGGAAACAGTTTCACTTCAACATGAAGCTCAACATTCAATTTCTTCCCCCTAACCACTGAGCTTCAGGACTCCACAGCACTGACATGATGGGCTGAATGGCCTTCTTCTGTGCTGGAAATTTCTTTGGGTATTTGACTTGTCTTGTGACTGTGTATTTGTGTGCAAACATCCCACTTTGTTATCACATCACAAACTATAATGAATGCTATTCCATTTCCTGATGGAAGATTCTATAGAATACACCGTGATTCCCAAAGCTATCAATAAAAAACAAGAAATATTCAATCAGTCCATATCTCCATAATTTAACCTACATTCCTAGAGAACATTCTCCATCAATATTTTGCCTACAAATTCACACAGTATATTTTACAGTATATTCTATGAAGCACTTTAAGATGTCTTGATGACATGATAAGGTGCTATGATCAAATGCATGGATTATTATTATATTATTATCAATCCCTGCATAATACCATTGACACTCTCAAGCACTTATCCACTGAAAAAGGGGGCGGGAGAAGGAATGTTCTGTTGTCACGAATTTGCCAACTTTTGGCAGAAGTGTGTATATGTTTTTGTACCCTCTAAAGATTATTACATTTACCAGTAGTGGGAGAATACGGTTCCACATGTTAGGGGAAGCTTTATTGTGCATCTTGTCCTGACCTGGGATTTTGATATTGGCATTCTACATGGAAAATGTTCCAATTCACAGAACTGATATTCCTTACCTTTTAATAAGTTGGAAACAAGAAACTGGACAAGATGACAAGGAGAGAGGTATTTAACATTCTTGAAAGTAGAAATAGTGTCTATTTGACATCAAATCATACCATTGTTAAGAGCTCAGATAATCTAACTGTGTGAAGGGTGGTATACAAATTGTAGTTGTTAATAGTTGCAAAGAATTCAAAAATAAAGTGATGAGGCTTTTTTTTATTGATTACATAATACATTATAGAATTAGTTGCCAGATACCAATTGGTTATTTGGTCACTGAATGATACAGTAAAACACACATAAATCGTATCATTCAGGACCATAACATTTAAAATGACTTATGTGAAGTCCGAGTTGTAGGCAAACTGTATAAATGGTATAAAATCATAAATCATAAATAAATTACATTGGACATGAGTAATTTAATGCAGCTGGTAAGTACACATGCGGTAGTTCATCACTGCACCTGGTAAGTGCATGTGCGGTGACAGGTCAAAACTACATTTCCCGCGATTCAATGTGTCTTGACCCATTGCTGCATTTGCACTTACTGGGAAGAACTGGAATCACATTGAATCGCGGGAAATGAAGTTGATGCATGCATTAATGGATCAAATCTATGTCTTGCGTGATTCAATACAGCCAGAACCATGCGGGAGTAATGGAGGGTAGAGGAGCACTTATCGTCTGCTTTCAATCATGGGAAATGATGTCCTAACCTGTCGACATATGCACACTGGTCAACTGGCTGTATTTACCGACAACGGGTCAAGACACATTGAATTGAGGGAAATGTAGTCTTTACACATCACCGCATGTGCACTTCTGAGTTAGGAGGTGATTAATATGAGTATTGCAAAGAAATCTATGTGGTTTTGATAGGAAACGGAATGGGGGATCAGAAAAACTGGCTTCAGGCTGATATAGTGGTTGTGTTTAGTGATTAAAGCAAGTGAGAGGACCTGGGTTTGATTCCCAGGCTGGGCGAAACATTGGGCAATTTTCCTTACTCCATAGGTCTCTGTTTACCTAGGAGTAAATAGGAACCCAGTTGTTAGTCGATTGGTGGATCGCTTTTCAGGGGTAATAATTCCTTTAAAATAATTTGGGCACTCCATCCACAACTGTTTGTGGGACATTGCTGTGAGCAATGGCTGCCATGCTTCACCCACAAAATATAGCCAATTCACTTTACAATATATTCTGTGAAGCGCGTGATAAGGTGCTATATCAACTGTCAGGCCTATTATTATTATTATTATTATTATTATGTACGTTCATTTGAGTAGAACTAACCATCTACCACAGCTCAAGACAACCAATACAAACCTCCTTAAAAGAATCTGATTTTCTCATCATAAGAAATTTATTTCCTTTTCTCCCAAAGAGTTGAACCATTAATTTAGACAGATTTTTGGGGATCCGACAGAGCAAAATCCAGGTCCAACTCCGTTTCTTTGTTTGGATGTGACCTTGCCTGCTGTGGGTGTGTGAGTGAGTGTCACAGGAATGTGCTGTGTTAATTACACTACAGAGTGGAGACTGCAGCCTTCACAGTACTCACTCTTCTGAAACAACTGCACCACTACCCTTGCTCTGATCAAGCTCCAATGTGGGACCCTTGCTGCACACTGGCTCTTTCTGACTAGGTAAAGAATTAACTTGCTCACTTGTTAACGCCAAAAGGAATCTGTTTTGAAGTCGCTTTGAGCCAGAAAAGTTCTCTCTGCGCTTTCCAGCTTGTTTTTTTTGAAGGATATTGACTTCTGTGAAGGGTGTTCCTGTCTACACTTGAACTGCGGTTATTGATGTGGCAGGTATGGCTCTACAAGTTTAGTTTCCATGGGTTTATGTATTAATAGGACAGAACTTGGATAATTTCCCCCCTCCTGCTTAACATTAGACATTAAGAAAGTTTAAAATATATAAAGTTTGTCTTAAGCCTTTTCATCAGTCTTGTGAATGTTTTTTTACTGCTGTTTGTTTGGTTCTTTCTGAATTGCATGTCAGCTGTGAGGCGATTCATGAAGTATAAAGTATACTCTTATAAAGTATTTAAAGGAGAATTACTATTTCCTCTCTAAATTAAGTTACTGAACTATGATGGTGTGTGTTTGCTTTTCAAAACTGTGCATTTGACCACATACATTCATTGCTACATACCTGACTGGCAGTTTTAAGGGTACATTCTTTTTGTTAAATCAAGATCAGCAGGTATAGTGTGAAATGTGGGCCAATATTATCTTGCCTTTTAAATCTCCTGTGAACGATTGATTTATTGTCATGTAGAGTTGTCGGCAAAGTCTTTAAGATTCTAAAATACCTGACAACAGAAACAAGAAATCATACACCTGGATTTCCACATAAGGAGAGAGAGCATTCCTGATCCTCTTAAACTTGAGACCACAAACAAACACTGCACTACCCAAGGGGTTATGCTGAGGTTAGTCCCAGTGTTTTCTGCACTGTCTCTTATTGAAGTACTGACTGGATTTGTTCCAACAGTGCTGGTAGCAGTAAGTAAGGCAAACCAGATGCTATTAAAAGAATTATTTAAAAGGGCAATGTTAAGCTGAAATAGTGGGGTAGTTCTGCCACTTTATAAATTATTGTTGGGAACAACCGCACTTGGAATACTGTGTGCAGTTCTGGTCGCTGCAATGCAAAAAGGATATTGCAGCGATTTAGAGTATACAGAGGAGGGCAACCAAAGTGTTTGACGGGATGGGGGGACTGGACAAAAGAGAAGCGATTAGGTAAACTGGGTATGTTCATGTTAGAGAAGAGAAGGTTGAGGAACGATTTGATTTGAGTTTTTAAGATTCTAAAGGTAATGTAGACCACGATAAACTGTTTTATCTTGTACTGAACAGTAGAACCAGAGGACATGGCGGATTGGAGGGGGGTAAGTTCAAAACAAATCTGTGGAAACAATTACAATTTGTCAGTTAATTCTGACAATTCTAACTAATTCCATTTAGTGTTCATAATAATTTGAGGCTGTAATTGAGAAAATAAATTTGAAAGGAAATTCAAAGCAAATCTGCGGAAACACTAAAGTGAGAGAGTAATAACTGACTCTCTTGGGAGACTTGGAAGCAGAAAGTGTTGATTCTTTCAAGAATAAATTAGATAGATTTCTGTTAGGAAATAATATCTCGAGATACAGTAAATAGTTTGGGACATGACATGAGCTTGCGACTGCCAGGATTGTGGAAGGCGAACTGGATTGGTTTTCGTTCATCTAGCAATTCTTATGTTATGCATCAGTGCCACATCTGAGATCGGTCCACAAGATTGAAAGCACAGAATAGAGGGTTGGGCTGTTTAAAAAGTGGATTGGAAATATGGTTCAATCGTAGGGGACCATCCCTTGACACTGTTCAAAAATAAAAGGGAGTTGCTCCCAGTGTCCTGGCCAACAATTCCTCCTCAAATAAAACTGGTAATTCACTTCATGGCTGTATGTGGGACATTGCTGGGTGCAAATTGGTTGCATTGTTCACCCAGAAATCACTACACTTCACCCTGTGAAGCGCTTTGTGATATCCTTCCAATTTAAAGACCGGAAGAAAGGGGTGTGGAGTGTGGATAAAGGAAGCACGTTCCAGTGTTTTAGAGGTGCAGGGTCTGAAGGCTGAGCCACTAATGGTGGTGCAGAGTGGGTGGGGTTGGACATTAATCCTACGTTAGCCTAGCAGAGGGGCGACTTGGTTAAGAGAAGGGAGATCTTATTGAAATTGCTGTGTGTGTGTGTTGGACATCTATAATCTACATACAATGACATGTTAGAAATTGTCCACTAATTCTGACAATTCCAACTAATTTTTAATACTTTTTGAGACAGTAATTGAGAAAACAATTTTCAAAGGAGACAGTCTCATGTCTTGACAAACAGCTTTTACTGATGCTTTTGAATATGATATAACTGCTACCTCTGCCTCTTAATCTGCTCCTCGGTGAAGTCTCCAAAAGTATAAAAACGATGCAATTTGATTTCATCACTGAAAAAAATTGTTAGCATTTTTTGTGTTGTTTTAAAAACAACCAGCCTTGTAACACTTTTACAATCTTTTCAGAACTATTTCTAAACAAATAGCTATGCAACTTGAAGGTCCTGTAACCTATTGGATAGAACACTTGCCTTGCAAGCAAGAGGACCTGGGCTCGATTCCTGTTAAAAGTTTACACAAGATTCCTTGCTCCACAGCAGTAAGTGGGAACCTGGTTATTAGCGCTTTAGTATGTCTCAATGATTTGATAAGGCACTATATCAAATGCAAGGATTATTATTATAAAGGTTTGTTTCATTATATTAGTCCCTTAATTCCCCACAAGTTTCTATCTCCGCTATCATTTCTCAGCAAGTTGCAGAACTACATTTTAATCTGTAAAATAAGGTTTTGATTTAGATGTGCATCTTTAAATCATAATTACAAATATAATTATTGTTATTCACACTTTTTGTTTCAACCTCTTGATACACATTCACCCCTCCCAGAGTGATTTGAATTTTTTTCCTTTCTATCACACATATGAACCTTCCACCGTAACAATTTGGAATTTACAAATAGAAATCTCAGCACAAGAATTGTCATGCAATTGCTCCATAAAGTTTAATTTGCAGGCAACAATTTAATCAATTTTATCAATTTAAAATTGATAAAAAAATCAAAGTTTACCACGGCTGCAGATTAAACCTTCTGCAGCCGGGGTAAACTTTGAGTTTTTGTCAATTTTAAATATTAGTTGGAATAAAATTAATTTGTAGTGCAAAACGACTCTCAGAATAATGCCATCGTGCTCATATTTCAAACAATTTCTGTGAAGTATTTATGAAGCACATTACAGCTCCAAATAGCATTTGCAGCTTCCTTTCAAATAGAGCACGAGGGGTGAAGGAATAGAGAATTTAGTTATCTCAAAAATTAACTGTACTAATTGAATGTTGTGTGCATCTTATTTAAAAGACTTAGTACTTCAGAAATTTCTGCTCTCAATCTAAATCTAACATTATTTAACCACTTCATTATTATCATACTTTTAAAAAAATAGTAATAATCCTTGCATTTGATATAGCACCATATTACATCTTTAGATGTCTCAAAGCGCTTCACAGGATACACTGTAAAGTGAATTGACTTATATTTTATGGGCGAAACGTGGCAGCCAATTGCAAACAGTTGTGGATTGAGTGACCACATTATTATTATTTTGGAGGGTTTATTAACCCCGGAAAGCAATCTGCCAAATGACTAACAAGTGGGTTCCTACTTACTGGTAGGTAAACATAGGCATGTGTGTGAAGTAAAGAAACTAGTCTAAGGTTTCACCCTGTCCTACCCAGGAATCGAACCCAGGTCCTCTCACTTGCGAGGTGAGCGTTCTCACTACTACATTACAGGATTCCACGCCAGACAGACAGACGTCTAGATGTACTTTCTATTTTAAATATTAGTTTTCACAACTGATGCCTTACTGGTCTGCAAGTAGTGAAGTCATGTGCCAGTGTTCAACATATATTTTTTGCACAAACTTGTTAGGATGTGGAATGCCCTAACAAGTAAAGTGGGAGAGGCAGTCGATTTTTCATTGTAAAGGAATTTGAAGATGGCGTGGCAGTGTGGAATTGATTGAACACTTATTGCAAAATGCTTTGATACATTTCATGATAATGCAATTTTTATAGTGTGAATCTAACTGTAATTTTTTTATACCATTATTATCTGGCTTTCCCAATATCTCAGTTCAGTCCTGATTGATCTTTGTCCCGCGACCACAACTAGATTGGGTTGAGACTTGGCTGATTTTCCCCTTCTCCCTCGTTTATTAGCCTGCTGAACTCTCTTTAATTGAAGCTCACATGAATGATGCCCATTTGGGTCAAGTACCCTTGGAACTGGAATCAGGTGGTCAACCAGTAGAGGGAGAAAGTAATCAAATGATTCATGAGACAAACTTATTCTTGAGAGAAAGGTAGGGAGGGAGAAAAAACTCTAAATATCAATTGTGGGACTTCCCTCAACATGAAAGGTACTACACAAATGTAATTTGTTGTCGTTGATGTACTTTAAACTTTACAACTTTCTTCAGCTCAACGTGCGTAAAACTGAGGCCCTCCTGATTGGCTCACGTCAGCGCCTCCGCACCTCAGGCGCTGACACCATCAGCATCCAAGGCTGCACTCTCCACCTCTCAAAGCCGGTCAGGAACCTCGGGGTTCTGTTCGACCCTGAGCTGTCCTTTCTCCCTCATATCCGCGCCACAACTGGCACCGCCTTCCATCACCTCCGGAATGTCGTCAGACTACGGCACTACCTCACCCCTCACGCTGCTGAAACTCTGGTCCACGCCTTTATCACCTCAAGGCTGGACTATGGGAACTCTCTCCTCGCCGGCCTTCCCGGCACCTTCCTCCACAAGCTGCAGGTCATTCAGAACTCTGCAGCTCGTGTACTGTCCCGCACCAGGCTTCGCGACCACATCACTCCCACCCTCGCTCACCTCCACTGGCTCCCCATCCCCCAGAGGATCGATTTCAAGATCCTCATCCTCACCTACAAGGCCATTCACGGCCTTGCTCCCTCCTACCTCTCCAACCTACTATCCCCCTACCTACCTGCCCGTACCCTCCGTTCCTCTGGCTCCG